TAGAGTTTCTCTGGTGTTGGCCAGAGTGGCCACCAGGGAAAGCTGGGGAGGGCTAGCCTCCCACTAGTTCGAATTAAGGGGCTACCCAGCCCTTAATTCGAACTAGTAAGTTCGAACTAGGCTTAGTCCTCGTGGAATGATGTTTATCTAGTTCGAACTAAGCGCTCTGCTAGTTCGACTTAAGTTCAAACTAGCGGAGCGCTAGTGTAGCGCCTATCAAAGTTAATTCGAACTAACATCCGTTAGTTCGAATTAACTTTGTAGTGTAGACATACCCTGACTTTCTAAAATCTTGGCCAAGATTGTTTGTAAACTAGGAGCCTCATCCAGAAACATATGGGTTACGTATGGAGAAGCATTACTGTGTTCTTGAAATCACTAAACACAAAGCAATGCTTCTTGTAGTGCTATTGTAAAGTTGACAGGCAGAACCAAATCTGGGGCCTAGGGAGCTCAGTGCATGAGCCTCTAGTGCTTGAGCTAAAAGTTAGCTTTGAGCTAAGGCTGTAGAGCACACTCATTCTCTCTCTCTCTGTAAAGTGATCTAAGCACCACTATATGGGACACTGAATCATATGCAGTAGGTGTGTGGATTACACTGTTAGATCACTGGATAAATTCCAACTGTCTGAAGCTGCCATGTAATATCCAGAAATTATACTATCTACAGGGAGTAGGGATGTTAAAAAAGTGTATTTGTGTAAACAAGATAGCTACTGAACTTTTTAGCAGTTATACATTTATATGCAGAGGGGCACAGGGGAACCGGTACTTGCGGGGAGCAGGCTCCTGCCTGCCTCCCCCCTCGCTGCTATCTCTCTATTAGAGGCAGCAACGTGGGGAGGGGGAAGCAGGCGGCTCCGTGAGAGCTGGTGCTTGTGGGGAGCCAGCTTTTAAGACAGTCCCTCCAAGCACTGCTCCCGCCTACCCTCCTCTTTCCCCCTCACTGCTGCTTCTGATACAGAGGCAGCAAGGGGGAAGAGGAGGGAATGCATGTAACCCTTAGGATTAACTGGTAAATCCAGGTTTATCGGTTAATCGTGTAAACAAGTATATGCTAACATCCCTAACAGACAGCACATCCAGGAAAATTATAGACATGTGATACAGGGGTAGCCTATTCATTTACCTGTCAAGATGAGATATGACTGTTTTTGAGATATCAGCTCCGGCCTCCTGCAGAATGCGAAGAATCTGGAAAGGTGCATTGCTGTTCCTGCCAGGATGAATTATAATGGGGCAGCCCAGCTGTGACTGAGCATGCGCTGTTGCCTGCAGCACTTTGTTTTCACTTTCAGTCAGAGGCCATGAGCAGCCAATTTCTCCTACCACACCACACTTGATGTTGGTTCCATCAGCTCCACTGAGTATCTCGTGCATGATAATGTCTGTAAGCTAACAAAAATAAAAAATAAATCCTTCTGTTAATGATAGTCTTTGTGTTGAAAAGTGTCAGCTATGGGCTACACACAAAGCTGCAGATTTTAAACCTGATTAGTGAACTATATCCAGCTTTCTGGGTACCCGCTCTTATAGTGGTTGAAAAATGGCTGACCAAGTGCAAGCTACACCAACAGCATAAGCCAGGTTTAAACCAAAACCAGAGCATGAACATAAAAGCTTGCACTGGTTTAACTAAGAGCAGGTCTACACCCAATAGTTGAAACAATATAACTGTATTTAACCAAGAAACTAATGCTTCTAAACTGATATAGTTAACTTGGCACAACTGTGTTGAAAAGCCCCAAATCAGGTTTTACATCTATGTAAGTTAAACCCATGAAACTTCTGTGTTCAGACAAGGTCTCAAGGTGAAAGTAAATACACATTATACCAGTAGAGAAGGAACAAAACTAGATTTTTTAAAGCTTGGGGAAGATTCTAGCTGTCAAGACCTAAAGAAGAACCATGAGGCCAAATCCTGCTCTCAGACGTGCCAAAATCAATCTGAAGCAACTCCACTGACTTCTGAATTGTAACC